CGGGCGGGGCCCGGGGCTGATGCAGAGACCGTGCGGCTCCGCGCCCATCCTCGGAGCCGGCACCGGGTCAGCCGAGGTTGCACGGGCTACGAGGGCAGCCTCTATCTACGAGATTACTTTTTTTTTTTTTCCTTTCCCTCCCCAGCTTAGTTTTCCTTACTTTACAATAAAGCCCTTCTTTGCTTTCTCACCTCGTTATCTCTTTTTCTTATCCGCTTTTGGCACGCTTTAGCTGTAATCCGAAGTTACGGGCAGCCCCCGGGCGCGGCCCGGGCACGGCCCGGGCCCCAGGACATTTCCCGGTCACAGGGACAGGAATCATCACTGTCCTTCCTTGGGCTTTAATAGTTACAGAAACAGCCTCGTCTTTACTTTCTACTACTAGCAGATTTTGGTCAAAGGCTATCGGAGGTCAGGATTTTTTTTTCTAAATAAGTCAGCTTTCTAAAGCTACATTCCTCCTTTAAACCGAACACAGAGCTCTTATTTATCACTTTCTCTTTAATCAGCAGCAGAAGAAAAAAATTGCTGTGAATGCCCGGAATCCCTGAAAGAGATCACACTTTTCCTTTGCACAAATCAAAGTTATCTGCTCCTATTATATCCTCCACTTAAAATGAATCATAAGCCTCCATCCCACTGAGCTTTCTCGGGGATACTTGTTTAGCACAGACGAGAACAATACGCTTGACATCTAAAGAGCCCAGGGTGTCAGAAGCCTCTCCGGCTGATAGAGAGTGTGGAGAAACGTCCTACCTTTCAAACGCATTTTTACTGCCTTTCCACCTCCCTAGCGCATGACAAACAGAAGTCAGAGAGCAGCGAAGAGATTTATCAGAGAGAGATCGGAGTGGTGATTACGTCTTATGTCAATAATTAATTGAATTATGTCCTCAGCATAATTACATACAGTCCTCTAGCCGGGAGTGGAAAAGAAAGAAGGAAGTTGCGGTGTGGTCTGAGGGGGATCTCAGGACATGCTTCCAGTCATTAAAAATGTGATGTAACATTGCAATCTGCTGTATTCTGAGGCACAAATGGGGAAACACAAGCGAAACCAACTACTAAAATATTATTTGCTTTACAGCAGGGAGATAGCGAAAGCATTTGCTTTTCTCATTAGTTGTTTTCCTTACTGCTTTCTGCTGGGGATTTGAAGGTGTTTTATGACGAACAGACCAGAGGTCTTACTCATTTGATCTATAAGCTATATGTTGTAGGTTTTGTATTGTTCACCACATACTAACTGACTAAATTTGATAGTTCTGATGTTTGAAATAAAAATTAAAATCAGTCCAGAAATTAAAATCAGTCCAGCAAAGCATCATATATCCAATACAAATCTAGAAATGACATATTCAAAGAATCTTGCAAGCAAATTCTTACTCTGACACTCATTTTTTTGTACTTCTTCCAGTCATAAGGGAGATCATCATATCATTATTAATTTATTATTTACTAAGAGCTGTTAGAGTGCTCTTTTGGTACACAAATGCAAGAAAACAAAGGGCTTGATTCAGTTCTCACACAAGTTTTGCACTGGTGTAACTTCAATGACACGGGTGTAGTCACTTCAGAACCACCTGGGTGTAATTATGATCACAATCTGGGCTATTGCACTTCCTTTGCTTTTCGAATGGTTCAAACCCTCTATTTTTCTCCAGCACGCTGCGGAAGACAGACAGCTGTTTGAATACAGAGCTCAAAAATCATTCTCAAGTTCCTCCTCACTGGCAGTGCCAGTGTCCTAAATCCTGCCAGAACTTAGTCCCGTCAGCACATTCCCTCCCCGTTCTGCACCCTCCCAACAGTGCGAGAGTTGTAAACCCCATCGCTACGTGTTCCCTTCCACCTGTGAAGGCA